TGCACTATTTTGGTAATAATAACTTTCATCACACTAAATATAATAGGATTACACATAACAGCCGGAGATAATATTCAGTATTCCTTTCTTATGATGGGATTTTGTGTCCAGATAAACTCTTTTATAGATACCTTGCGGCTTTGTGTTATAATCTTAAAATCATATATTATTAAATACGTCCGTGATATTTATAATAGTTTGATCCAGAAAAAGAGATTTAGTTATTTGGATATTTTTAAACATATACAGAGTTCTACACTTCATCTATTTACTTCCCAGAACTAGAACAATGCTATTTATTAAAGCGGAGTTCCAGCTGTTTTTTTTTGATGATTAAAAGTCAGCAGCTACAAAAACTGTAGCTGCTGACTTTTAATAAACACACACTTACCTGTCCCAGGGTCCAGCGATGTTCTCACCTGCACCGTCCCTTCTCCCCTTCTCTCCTCCATGGCGCCAGCATCACAACTGTGGACACCAGGCTGTGACAGCTTGCGGCTTCACAGCCGGGTGCCCACTGCGCATGCGTGAGTTGCGCTGCGCCTCCTAAATGGTCTGGCAGTCTTCTGGGACCTGTGAAGGTTCCCAGGAGACTATGGGGGGAAGGAGGGGGGCCGAACTTCCGGCTCACTTTGCTGCGAAGAAATGAGCTGGAAGTGGGAGCGGGTACCTGTCAAAACCAGGTACCCACTCACCCCCAAAAGGTGCCAGATATGCCAGTGGAGGGGAGGAGGAGCCAAATAAGTGGAGCTTCCACTTTTGGGTGGAACTCCTCTTTAAGTGACCAAGATGCTAATTTGCTGAATTCACAAGTCTGCATACAAGATGTCTCCATAGCTTACATTTATGGGGCCTGGAGTGGCTGGTAAATATAGTTTATATGCCCCAAGTGCAGTAAAAAGACAGAACCCATGTGGTCAGGCGTCCTTGCTTTGTCTCAATTTTGTACTTGTCAAATAGATTCTTTGCTATAAGCAAATTGTGTAAAAAGAAAAAAAAATACTGATCACTTCCCCAAAGTAGTACAATGTTACTATGGTAACATTGTACTAATTTGGTCATAGTAAAATATGAAAAAAAAATTAAAAAAAATGTAATAAAAAATTAAAAATAATAAAAAAAAAACTATATATATATATTTTTTTTTTCATACTGTCACCAGTCAGTGTCCCTGTTCACCGCCATGCCAGTTATATGATGACGCTGTACTGCACTGGTGACAGTATGTAAAAAAAAAAAATAGTGAAAATAATTTTTTTAATTTTTTTTTCATTTTCCGAAAAATTATGACAAAAAATATACAACTTCAAAAAACTCGCCATTCCTCTTATGAAATACGTTCGACTGTCTACTCTGCAAAAAGGGGTCATTTGGGGGATATCTGTACTATTCTGACATTCTTGGGCCTCAAGAAATTAGATTGGCTGTCAGTACTTCAGGATTGATCAATATTCAGATCTATACCATAGTTTGTGAACTCTATAACTTTCCTACAAACTAAAAAATACATCCTAATTTGGGTTATTTTCACCAAAGACATGTAGCAAAATACATCTTGGCCTAAATTTATGAAGAACAATTATTTATTTGTAAACTTTTATAACAGAAACAAAGAAAAACGTGTTTTTTTTTCAAACTTTTTGGTCTTTTTTTGTTAATTTAGCAAAAAAGAAAGCTCTAGTTGTGTGAAGAAAATGATAAAATTTTAGTTTGGGTACAATGTATGACCGCGCAATTGTCATTCAAAGTGTGAGAGCGCTGAAACGTGAAAAATGGCCTGGGCAGGAAGGTGTAAAATTGCCCGGTATTGAAATGGTTAAATGCCACAAATGTAGCCCATCAGCAGCACCTCTAAAGCCTATCTGAAAAACTCTTCTTGTAAGTTATCACCCATATCCTGCCTAGAAGCTAGGATACACTATAGGTTGAGTGTTCCCCCAACAGAAGCAAAACCTGCTCATACACAGTGCTCTCCCCCTCCCCGTATAGCCATGACTGCGCTCATCCTGCTACTTTCCTGTGTGCAAAGTACAGCATGTCATTTCTACACTTTGTAGCCCTCTTTTGGCCCACCTCATAAAGTTGGGAGGTAAGGCATTTAGTGGGCACCACTAAAAAAGGGTCATATACTTTTTTCAATTTGTTGATGTGCATTGGTATGTAGGCAGGTTAGTATGACCCAGTGGCGTCCCAAGGCAGGTGTGGGGGGTGCGCGCCACACAGGGTGACACCAACCGCACGGAGTGACACCGGACCCGCTCCACAAAAAGTTAAGTTGTAAAGCAAGCTGACGATCCCCGCAAGATGGATCCGATCCATCCTGCGGGGATTGTCGGCTTTCTTTACAACTTACCTTTTCATGGAGAGGGTCCGGTGTCATCCCGTATAGTTGCATGCCGACGATCCCCACAGGATGGATCGGATCTGCAGATTGGGGAGCATAATGGATCGGACTATGATCCATTATACTCAATCCATAGATCTGAACCATGTTGTGGGGATCGTCGGCATGCAACCTATACGGGGTGACACCGAACCCTCTCCACGAATAGGTAAGTTATAAAGCAAAAAAGAAAGCCGACGATCCCCGCAGGATGGATCGGATCTGCGGTTTGATTATAATGGATCGGAGCCCCATCCACAGGGGAGGGGGTGTCACCAAGTGTTACCGCACTGGGTGACACCAGCCCTAGGGACGCCCCTGGTATGACCTCCCTACACATGCAGAGCTGTCACAACCATGATGTAGGAAGAGTAGAGGACAAGAGCAATGCACATTCCTCTTAGGCCTCCATACATGTCATCGGGTGGGCTGCTGTCCAGTTGGACACTGCCACCCGGATGATGCCTGCGGCCATCTTTAGTGAAGGCAGTGCTTTATAAAGCACTGGCTTACTACAGTTGGTGTGCTTATAGCTTGTAGCCAGGTCAGGGACAGGAACCTAAATGATAGGGAAAGTGAGTGTACCATTGGCAGAGGTTCCAAAGGAGAAGGGACAGCATAGGGACTGTCATCAGAACTACAATAGGGAACCTTTCTACTACTACAGGTGTGATTAACCTTTTGAAGAGCGAAGACCACTTAAATGATTTGGTAACTGGTCATAGGCCACAATGAAATGAAATGGTTCAAAATCTCAAATTATTTATTTTGAATAGCATAATAAACATATTCCTCCTGCAGATGCTGAATGCCAGCAGGAGGAAGGGGAGGAGAAGCTGGATTTCAGAAGTTGCAGGAGGAAAGTGTAAAGGATTGGTTCCTGTATATGCTGCCCCCGCTGCCCTTCCTGTCCCAAGTGTAAAACAGGATGTGACAGGGAGGCTGCATGGGCCCCCTGGAGCATGGGGCAGGGTTGCTACTGCGACCCCTGATGCTACATCAATGGTTGGGGGTGTGTGGTATAAACAATTATGGGGTTTTACCACCCCCCAAACCAAAATGTAAACAAGCCCTTACTGTTCTGAGCCTCCTGTAAGGCTGCTTTCACACTAATGCACCTGTGTTAGCTGCACTTTGCCATAGACTTCTTTTATATTTATTAGGTGTGGTGCACTTTCAGAAAGCACACCAAACCCACAGGATATAATAGAAGTCTATATCCCAGTGCAGCTAACCCGAAAAAAAAGCACTAGGTGCACTGAGCTACATCTGCAGATCAGTGTGAAAGCAGTCAAACGATTGTTAACCCTTTCATAGGTGTTAATATGCCCATTACAAAAGCACAGTGTACATTTTATTTAATACACTGACCTTCTTTTCCTCTTCCATCTTCTGCTGGTATGGCTCTCTAGGCTGCTAGAAAGGTCCCACTACAGAGGAAGCATCAGCCTATGGGGGTCCTCCTCCCTCTGTGATCGTCTGCTTCCTCTGCTGCTGGCACTGGCTCAATGCACTCTGATGCTCTGGGATGGCGAGTTAGAAAGCTCAGATCACGATCAATGGGTTTCAGACCTCAGGCATGTGCTTGCCTGGTTTGAGGTCAAGGGCCACATTAGAGGGCTCCAAAGGCCACATGTGGCCCGCAGTCCACAAGTTAAGCACCCCTGCGCTACTAGTTTTTTTTGCTGGACGTCGCTTTCCAACCGCCCTCTGTACCAGGTGCTGTTGGTCTCTGTGCATCGCTCTCTGCAAGTACTGTATACCCTTCTGTGAGTGTTCCTGCCAGTTCTAAGACACTGCATGGACGCTGTTACTGTATTTTGGGATTTTTGACAATACAATTTCTGCAATTTCAACCACTGTGTGTGCCGTTCCTTCCCTCCGGGGTGCCTATACCCAGACCCCCCTACATCCTACAGGCATTTATAATGCTTTGCACGCAGCAGATTGCTTCAGTATGGATGGGCCACAGGGGTTCTTGCGAAAATATCTGAAAGCGCAAAGAAAAAATACTGGTAGACAGGGTTCAGTGCGTGCAAAGAAGCCATTAGGTCAAGAGACCCAACCACTGCTGCTTCTCACTTACAAGCTGTGTGCACACATTGGGTTCTGTACATAACGTAGCACCATCTTTCTATACTGCAGATCTATATTTTCATCGTAGAAGACATTATATATACTAAATAAAGGGAATTCTATTCCATTTCATTAAATAAAGATAGAAGCCCAAAGGCTAGGCAGAACATCTAAAGGCTGAGTGTGAAATATCTGAGGATCCAGCTCTGATTCTCCATCAGGCCCTGTGGGCTGGAAATGCTGTCCATAGCAATCTGCTGGATTGTTCTGCTTCTAAACCACATTAAAAATGACATCTGCAATCTGACTGGTAGCCTTGAGCAATGCAGACACTTCTCATTGGGGTGTCATTGGGTAGTTTAAAACATTATTATTTAGGGCCCATTCACATCATTGCAGGGATTAGCACAGGAGTTTTATACTGCAAGTTAACATGTTATGTAATGGCAGACCATTTATTTAAATGGGCTACCAAAGGAACATATAACATTCGTTAGCACACTGCATTGCAACGCATATGAATGTGTGTCTGTCAGCAAAGTGCAATGGCACTGCATGGCACCAGTATATGTAATGTGTGTTGCTGCACTTCAACACACAAGCTCCCACAATGCATCAGTATGAATGGGCCATTAAGCATGTGTGCGTACCAGGGGTGGACTGACAACTCATGGGGCCCCCGGCCAATAGGGGATCATGGGGCCCCTGCGTCCTTGCCCACACTCAACCACTCCCAAAAAAGCCTATTAAGGTACCACAGGCATCTCATGGGGTCCCCTACTGACTCCGGGCCCTCGGGCAGTGCCTGAGTGTTCGATGGCCAGTCCGCCCCTGGTGCGTACCCAAACTACCCTGGACTTCACATCAACTCCAATACAGAAAAATGGCTTGCATTTAGGATGAACTAGAGATCAGTCTGGAACTGACTTGAGATATCAAAATATATCTATAACCAATCACTAAAATCTCATGCTAATTTAATATAGTACATATATAATATAGTATTTTTACATCTGCAGCTTTCAGCAATATCTGGTGATCCTGCCATAAAAGCCCTTGTTCAGGAACTTCATGTTATAGGGTGACAACTGTCTCCACCCTGTCGCATGCAATCCTGGCACTACAAGTAGCTGTGCCAGCAAACATTGCTCAGGCATGATCCTCCATTATCTGGAAGAGATCAACAGCACAGATATGGAGGAAGGATGGAAAATGTGAAAGCGGTATTTAAAAAAAAAAAAAAAGTTAATGATACATATATACCTGCATAATAAATGTTATATAGTTAGCGATTAATTCCACCTGAGTTAAAGTATGAACGTTCACCTTGTAAAACAACCTTTTCAGTTTAAATTAGAAATGAAAGGGAAAACATTTGTGTATAGATATAAAAAAACGTTATAAATGCATTTTTTTCCTTTTATATAACTGATCGCATTCTCTCTGTTCTCAGCTGCATAAGTAGCTCAGAGAATTGGGGGAGGATAAACAGCAGGACACTAGTCTTCCCAGTGAATGGCTGTGCAGGGGGGGAGGCATGTCAGTACAAGTTTGATCATTAGAGGAGAGCAGGTTGAGTTCTCAGCACAGCAAGAAAACGGACCACGCTTTGCTCTCTTGCTTAGTGTGGTCAGTTTTTAAGGTAAGCAGAGAGACTGGCAGGATCAGCAGGGATTTCACTCTAAGGAAGCAATACAAAGAGAACAGGAAAAACTGACCACACTAAGCAGGAACAGTGTGGCCAGTTCTTTAGCTATGCTGGGAACTCAGCCTGCCTCTCCTCCAATGATCAGACTTCTGATGACCAATCTCCCCCCTGCACAGCCATTCACTGGGAAGACCAGTGCACTGCTGCTTCTCGTCCCCCAGCTCTCTGAGATCCTTATGCAGCTGAGAACAGAGAGAATGTGGTCACTTGTAAAGAAGGGGAAAAAAGGTATTAAATCTTATATATATATATATATATATATACACACACACACACACACATATTTTTTACCTTTTCATTTCTATTTTAAACTGAGCTGTTTTACAAGGTGAGGGTTCACATATACCTTTGTTAGAAGCAGAGCAAGACAATAGGTAATAGAATGAGAGAAGCAATCCCCACAGATACAAACAAAGCGCAGCTCCATGAGATCCCATTCAGAATTCAAACATTGCATCCACTTCTGTCAAAAATGTCACACACTGATATTAAAGAACCACCCCCTGTACACAAGTGCTTTAAATAAATAAACATGTGGGGTGTATTGTATACATCTCCTCCCTTATCTCTCATGATAAAGATATTTGTGCCCCCCCCCCCCTCCCATGGACAAAAGAGGACAATGACAGGAAAGCATAGCATCATGAAATGAAAACCTCTATCTTGCCTGGAAGATCATTTATTTCTGGTTATATAATCAGGATAAAAAAACTCTCAAGTCCATCTAGTCCAACCAATAGAAGAACATAAATAAATTTCCATGTACAGAACCTTATACCCCCAGCTGATCCAGCGGCCCACAGAAGTGATTGAGTGGCTGTTCCACTTGAATCACTTCTGCCATACAGGGAATCGCTGGCTGCAAATTTTGATACCGGGATGATGCCTGCAGCTGCAAGGTATACCCATTTCAACCCGAGGACGTCATATGACATCCTGCAGGCATGAAGTGGTTAAAAAATAAAACTCTTTCCTTCCATCTGAGTCGCAGACACTGAATACAGTCAGAGAGATGACACGTCATCTGAGCCCACCTTATAGAAGACCTTCATTAATAGAGCCAAGGACTGCTCAGCTACCAGCAACTGCTGAGACAATTCACATGTCGGTGAGGAGTAAATCATGTACAATATAATGTATATAGAGGAGTGAGAATGACTACACAGTCTCCCCCATCCTCAGGCTTCACAGTCTCCCCATCCTCAGGCTTCACAGTCCCCCCATCCTCAGGTTTCACAGCCCCCCTTCCATCCTCAGGCTTCACAGTCTCCTCCCATCCCCAGGCTTCACAGGTTCCCCCATCCTCAGGCTTCACAGCCCCCCTCCCATCCTCTGGGTTCTCAGGTTCCCCCCCATCATCAGACTTCACAGGTTCCCCCTCCACAGGCTTCACAGGTTCCCATATCCTCAGAATTCACAGGTCCCCCCATTCTCAGACTTAACAGGTCCTCCCATCCTCAGACTTCAAAGGCCCATATCCTCAGGCTTCACAGGTTCCCCCCATCCTCAGGCTTCACAGCCCCCATCCTCAAGCTTCACACATCCCCCCATCAGAGGCATCATAGTTCCCCCTATCCTCAGACTTCACATCCCCCCAATCCTCAGGCTTCACAGCCCCCCATCCTCAGGCTTCACAGATGCCCCCCATCCTCAGGCTTCACAGGCCCACCATCCTCAGGTTTCACAGCCCCCATCCTCAGACTTCACAGATATCAGATATCATTTCTCTTCTCACCCTGCTACGATATGATTCCTCTTCTCACCCTGATATGATATGTTTCCTCTTCTCACCCTGATACAATATCATTCTTCTTCTCACCCTGATACGATATCATTACTCTTCTCACCCTGATATGATATAATTCCTCTTCTCACCCTGATATGATATGATTCCTCTTCTCACCCTGATATGATATAATTCCTCTTCTCACCCTGATATAACATTCCTCTTCTCATCCTGATATATCATTCCTCTTTTCACCCTCATGTATCATTTCTCTTCTTACCCTGATATGTCATCATTCCTCTTCTCACCCTGAGATATCCTTTCTTCTCTTCTCACCCTGATATGATTTCATTCCCAGGAATGTCCTATGGGAGCAATAGAAATAAATGCTCTTCAGTGACCTCTAATGGCTATAAAGTAAACTGCACAGAAACAGAAAAAGACATTGAAAGTTATGGGTTCTAATAAAAAGAAGAATTGTGTTAAAATGGAATGTTATTGCTGACTTTCATTTATGATGTGGCTATTGTGATTATTATGTTTTATAGTTAATCAGTGACTCAAAGTTTTTCTTTCTGCCCAACCTAGGAATCCTAACCCTTCAAAGAAGGACTAATCAATAACCAGGGGGTTAGTTAAACAATCAGAGACAACGCCTCCACCTGCCCAGCCAACCAGAAGCCCTGTTGAGACATAGCCCATGTGATATCACCTTCCCTTATTAAGATGCCCTGGCAGATGATGTCAGAGTATTGTTAAGTGCTGGCGGTGCAGGATTTGGGAAAAGACTCTATAGAGAAGCAAAGGCAGCGCTGGAGATAAGTGATGGCTCCAATCATAGCCGATAACAGCCCTTCCAAGTTGGCTGAGAGGGACAGTTATGAAAAGTAAGTGTGCAGGAAATTCAGGGACTATAGAAGAAATATGTACTGGGGTAGATGAATCTATGTAGAAAAGTGTGGGGTTTATTTACTAAAGCTGAAGAGTGCAAAATTGGAATCACTCCTGCATAGAAACCAATCAGCTTCCAGCTTTTACACTAGGTTCACATCTGTATGGGTGGACCCGCGCGAAAATCCGTGCAGCCGCACCACCCACACAGAGAAATGCGGACCCGTGGGCAGGTGCCATTAGTTCTAATGGCATGCTACCCGCACTGGAAAACGTAACCGTACTGGGAACCGAGGTTCCTGTGCGAGCTGCATTTCCTTCTTTCCTGCATGGCTTGGAAGTCCATTCAAATGAATGGGCTCTCGTGCCCGTGCAGAACGCAGTCCACACGGCTGCATATATGTGAACGGGGGTTATTGCCAAAGCTTAATTGAACAAGCTGAAGTTAGAAGCTGATTGGTTCCTATACAGAAGTGAACCTGATTTTGCACACTCCAGCTTTAGTAAATAAACCCGTCTGTCCTATGCAGTCCTCTGATTATATGGTAGTAGTTGATTACAGGGGCGGAACTGACCATTTGGAAACACGGGCGCTGCCAGAGGGCCCGAGGTCAGTAGCGGGCCCCATGAGATGGTACCCCTGGTACCTTTTTTTTTTTTTTCATAGGCTTTTTTGAGTTTGAGCAAGGACACAGGCCCCACGATTCTCTATTGCCTGGGGGCCCCATGAGTTGTCAGTCCGCCCCTGGCTGATTATCTGTCTCTGTCCTTGTCTTCCAATGAGAGATGTGCAAAACAGAACCGTTTGCTGAATTTCAGATTCGTTAAGTAAATGTTTTTTGTCTTAAGTTAGAATGAGTCATTTTTCAGAATTCGTTTTTGTATATTTGAACTTGTTTTCATATATTCGTTATTCCAAAACGATTTGTATTTTCAGAAGGTATTTCAGAAAATTGACTATATTCATTTTAAGGCAATTACTTATTACTGAGTCATTCCTGCTAGTCCAACCCACAAAGAGCAATGAAATGAGTGGCTTGGATAATACTGACTGGAGTTGCTCGCAACTGAAAGTAACAAATGGAACTAAATTGACTTTGGATTCATTCGTTATGTTATGATTTGGAGATTTTGATGGATCCAACCCAAACACAATAGGTAGGAATAATCTGTTTTTCACTTCTATACCTTACTGCATGGGTACTGAATTAAAAATCACAGGGGTCCAGTGAGGAATATTTTCTTCCAGCAGAGGTCCGAGTGTCATGTTGGTGCTATGACTCAGATCCTTCACATCAATTTACCGTGCAAATCACAAAAAGAGTGTGCGGATAATGGCTGCGTGTCTGTGGCCATTACTGTGCTCTAATGCCCGCCCTCAATAAAATTACAAAGCCTAATATATAATACAATTTTATATATAATTGTATTATGTTTGACTTTTTTTAGGTTTATTGAGGGTGAAGCGCTGAAGCAGAGTAATGGCCACAGAGACAGAGCCATTATCCACACACTTTTTTTTTTTTCTTTTTTCTATCGGCAAAACTTCAATAACCCTATTTTTGGACAATAATTTTTGTCAGCCGATATATAAGTGCAGCACTATTTATTGCAATATGTTTCTATTTCATATGTAGTGGTTTTTTTTTTTGTTTTTTTTTTTTTTAGAACAATGAAAAACGTTAATGCAAAAAGAATCAGCTAATTATCCTAGAGTCAAAGACTACCATGCCACTCTCATCCGAATAAACATCCAAATCAACTCAGATCGTTCGTTACTTTGTTACATTATTTTGGATCCTTCAAACATTAAGAAAAGGCCCAAACTATTGCATTGTGTCATCCGACGGAATATGAATGAATTTGTTTTTTCATTATTTCGGATTCATTGAAATTTGTTACTATTGTGATTCGTAGATTTGGTTACATTCGAATCTGTGAGTAACACATTTCATCTAAATTTTAATTTTTAACAAAACGAATCGCACATTTCTACTTCCATCACGCTGGAAGTGGATTATGTCTGTATCATTCATACACATACATCTCATACTGAAACTTTTCCACTATCCTATCACTTTTGAAGTAGGAAGGGCAACAGCCAATTAGCAAAGCATTGATCTATTCTAAACCAATGACTATTAACATCGGATTGTTATAGCGTACTTTTTATTGTTCATTATGGGGTGGCCAGACATTATCCATTATTTGACTTTTTGACCCAACGCTTTAATTTCTTTGTGACAATGAAATAATAGATCAACAATTAACTGCACTATAACAAAGAATCAAACAAAGGGTCAGTCTACAACGTCCGCTTTTAGTGGAAAGTTTTTTTTTTTTATAGGTTTGGATAGAGTTGAGACCTATTAGGACCCGTTTGTTTTTGGTTTTTTTTTTTTTGTTTTTTGTATTGCTATCTGGTTATCATCAGAACAAAAGGTTAACTTTTGCAATGGGGACACTAGTTCTGATGCCAACCAGGGTTTCCCACATTTTTGCAGGTTTTTATTCTCTCACTTCATGTTATGGTTATAGGACAGGAAATGAAGGCAAATATGTCCAAGAGGACATAGCAAAAAAATCTTAGAAATTACAATCCACCTGTTCTCTATCCAAATTGGGGGGGGGGGGGAGTTTGAAGCATACTTAAACCCTAAAACGAAAATTGATTGAATTGCAGTTTACAGGTTCTTAGACGTGGTGGGTGCATTCGTTTTTTTTTTTTTTTTTTTATGTCTTTTTTTTTTTTTTTTTACACTTTTCATCTGGAAATTCTGTCATTAACTTCCTTTCCTAGGGTGACAACTGTCCGGAGCAGCATTTTCACCTTGGGATAGAGTGTATTAGGACTACATAACATCTCCCTCTCTTCTCTGTAAAGGGGGGGGGGTGTTTTTGTAGTGTTTGGCGATAGCAGGGAGCTATACAAACTGATAACAGTCAGAGGCAGTCCAGAGGCAGAGAGCTCAGGAAGATTTCTGGTTAGATGAACAGCCACGTATCGAACAGATATAATAAAACACTTTCAATGACATACTGAACTAAGCAAAAGGGAGCAAATAAGAGACATTTATTGCTAAGTTTACATACACTTTAAATCACCTGGCACTATCTTTGATCTCTTGGGAAATCTAATGGTGGCCATACGCAGAACAATTTTATATATAATTGTATTGCTGATCAATTTACTGTCCGGGAGAAAAATACGCTGGAAGAGCATAATGATCGGTCAATGCATCATATACCTAACGATCCTAGCCAACAATCTATTTTCCCATGATTGGCTTTTCTGTCCTGACCGATCTGACGGTTTCAATTAAATCAACTGCTTTTGCTCAAATGCACTGTATGCATCTCTTCGATAATTCATAGACTTGATATTGCCCAATTCTGTAAAGAAATGTTTGCTCAGATCAGTATGTGTATGGCCACCATTGTTGCTCATTTAGATTTAAGTGTGTGCATTTTTTTTTTTTTTTTTTTTTTTTTTTTTAATAGCACTAGGCAGGAGCGTTGACATGCGTCAGCATGAATTTTCTTTGTGTGTTGATATAAATTATTTCTTTCTGCATTTCCAGTGCTTATTTGAAGTTAGGATTTGGAGAGGATAGAGTTAATGGCCTCTAACCAAGGTTTGTTAATACCTATTGCCAACGCATGAAAGCATATCTTACTTTGATCTTTTGATGTGTTGCTATTGTCTTTTATGTGCCTCCCAATGTGCTATTGCACAGAAAAATGTGGCATATTTTTCAAAATGCACTGCACCACAGCATAGAAGTGCAAGCAGGCACTATATATATCATGAGGAAATGGGACACAAACTTTTAAGTGTGTTTCCAAACATGCATGAAAATGCAAAAAATAAATGGGCTCTGAGATCTTTCATCTTAGAGTTAGGAGGAGTCCAGACCAGCCCACCCGCTAAAACGCATGTGACCTAATGTGCATTGTGTAAGGGCTGTGAAGAATAGCACATTGCGTTATTTTCAATGTATTCGTTTTTCTTGATCTATGCAGATCAAAGCAGCTCAATGGACAATCCCACTTAAGCTGCCATAGATGGAATTATTTTTTTTTTCCTGCAACCACAGGTTGCGGTAAAGGAAATTGCTTGATTACCCAATCAGCACAGACCGTGTTGATGGGGAAATCCCGATGGGGGAGCAGTTCCCGCCAGAAGAACACAGTGATCACTGTTAGCAGATAAAAATAGCAGCCTAGCAATAATCGCATATAAAATTTGACAGGTTGGTTGTACCCAAATTGATCGCTCAACTTGGGTACATTCAGCCTGCCCATACATGGTTCGAATCTTGGCCAGTCCCTGCTGAACTGGTCGAGATTTGAACCATCTATGGCCAGATTTAGGTCCATCAATAAATATCTAGCGCAAGGGCCTGCCTGATTGGGTACAAATTGATTGGATATGTCCTCCTATTACATAGTTTTGGTTAATGTAAGGTTGATTGTAAAGAGACTGTAACGTGTATGTTGGACTTTAGGCAATCCATACCTATACCTGGGTCCCTCATCCACACATTGAAGATTGATAGTGGATTCTTTGCGCTGAGCTATTGTATTCTGACAGGACATTTCCCCACCGTCAGAATACACTGATCAGAGCTGCAGTCTATAGCCTCCGGTGCTGATAGAGTGGGGAAAATCCGACAGGCTGGTTGTGCAGAAGTCGATCCGTAGATTAACTTCTGTACAAATGCAGTGCCCCTACATGGATTGCAAATCCCTGTGGAACCAGTCAAATTTCGATCCATGTATGGGCACTGTGGTTGTGCAGAAGTCAATCTACTGAACGACTTATGTACATCCACACTGTCATATTTTCCCCACTCGATCATCCAGGACAGCTTTTGTCCCTGGCTTTTTATATATCTTGGTTACTTTAACTGGGATATCTCCAAGCCATAATTCCTGACTCTGCTCTTTTCCACCTGGGAGCTTTAAGTGTTTCAGACAACATTTGTTTCCAGCACCTCATTTTGTATTCTCCATAATATACAATAAATAATCCAGCAGGGAGGAGGCCTCTCATAATGACCACAACAGGCGTGTGAACCCAGGATTCCAGTGCAAAGATCTGTAAAAGAAAATTCCTACATTATGTGTGGCCACCAAAATAGGAATAGAGGCAATGGGGACATTAGTTCTGGTGACGATCAGAAATTTCACTGTGGAGAGATTTTTTCACTTCCTGTTTTGACTATGGGACAGGAAGTGAAGGGAAATCCAAACGTGGACTGTGCTGTGTACAGGATCTCACATACACTATATTGCTAATAGTATTGGGCCTCCCAGTCTTAGTCCGTAGAGGTCACTATTGAGTTGGCCCCGCCCTTTGCAGCTATAACAGCTTCAATTCTTCTGGGAGGGCTGTCCACTAGGTTTAGGAGTGTCTATGGGAAGGTTTGACCGTTCTTCCAGAAGCTCATTTGTGAGGTCAGGCACTGATGTCGGACGAAAACACAGGAGGTTGTCCGCTCGGCATGGGCACCATTTAGTTAATGCTTTACATTTTCTGAATGAATGCAAAACATTCTCTGATTGGATGAGGTGGAGATGCAGGGCAGTGATGTCACGCTCTCCACCTTGTCCAATCAGAGAATGAATTTGAGAAAACATTAAATGCGTTGGTGCGATGCAGTGCCATTAATTTAAATGGAATCCCAAAATACTTTGGCTGGATTATGTGCAGTGCACTACCAAAAAATGGCGCATGCCTCGCATTTTTGTGGTAGTGTACTACAACGCATTTCCATCAGCAAGGTGTGTTTGGGTTGCCATTCAAGTAAATGTGTGTTGATGTACGTTTGTGGTAAAGCTCGCTGTAACACTGTTACTGCAACATGATGTGCAGCCACTGGTGTCAACATGCTCCTACTTAGTTACATATAGTTGGTACAGTTAAATAAAGACACCAGTCCATCCTGTTCAACCTCTGTGGGTGTGTGTGCAAATTTATGTCTCTACTACCTTCCATATTGCTGTATATTGTGTTCAATAAGAAGCCATCTAGGAAGTTTTTTAAATTGGCGCCACTTCCCAATGACACCACTGATTGTGGAAGGGAGTTCCACATCCTTGCCGGTCTAACAGTAAAAACCCCCTTACACAGTTTAAGGTTAAAATGCTTATTGTCCAACTTCAACGAATGGTCACGTGTCTTCCTGAGTGACCTGAGACTGAATAGTTTCCTTCCAATGCTGGAATCACCATTTAGATATTTGAAGATTTACTATGAAGCAGGGGCAGACTGACAGCTCATGGGGCCCCTGGGAAATAGGGGATCATGGGGCCCCTGTGTTCTTGCCCAAACTCAAAAAAGCCTATGAAAAGGGTACCAGGGGCATCTCATGGGGCCCCCTACTGACCCCGGGCCCTCGGGCAGTGCCTGAGTTTCCAAATGGTCAGTCCGCCCCTGCTATGAAGATTTAGTAAATCAGTATAGGTTCTATGGACAGTTAATAAAAATGGCTTTCTAAAATCTGCATATTCTGAGTTTTAGTTTAACAATGCTTTCTAGAACTTTGGATTCTATTTTACAAGATTTGACATTTTATGTTTTGACTTTCTTTTGTATTTATTTACTGACAGCAGTGGATTTGTACATGTTAAAAACCCCCATCTAGACCTATTACCTGAGGACATCCTCTACCACTTCGACTTGGGAACAAAGACCCATGACCTACCCTCTATGTTTGGAGATGTTAAGGTAAACCATCCATTAACAGCATATATTTGGCTTAGTCTGGTGAACAACAAACTTTGGTAAATTCTGAGATTTTCAGCTAAAATTAAAATTTCCCTATTTTTTCTAACTAGATTGTGCCAGAACATAGTGTTGCACCCTTCTGCAGCACACCTCATGTAATAGGGACCTGGCACTATAGTTACAGATTACATTGGCAGTGCCTCTTGGTGAAATTTGGCATTGCTGCTTACCTTTTTATATATATATATATATATATATATATATATATATATATATATATATATATATATAAATGCATATATGAGCTACCATTGATGGTCAGGGCTATCACCTTGCTGAATGTAGATGCATGGCTGTTATGACCCATTAACTGCACTACTTCTTTAATCACTGAAACAAGTATGTAGTTCAGGAAAGTTGAGAAGGCATAAATCATCTCTATTGGACCATCACTATGATGGGCTGATTCTCTGATCAGTAGTACAGAGCAGGACGTGAAAGGGGGTATGGCCACATTTCTGAACCAGGAGGCTGGTCAATATTTGCATACCACAGTATTCCTAGAATTGTGGTCAGCAGGACACTTAGCAGCAGGACTGATGCCCCAAAGTGCCTTCTGTGTAGTAGTGGAGACCGCTTTGAACCTCTGTCACTTCAGATTAAGGGGTGTGTTTTTCCTATAAATGCCTAACCTGACTGCAAGGAATGTCTAAAATGACCACATGTAACCCACCAGATCACTCTTGGAGGAGCTCAGCTATGAGGAAAGATTAGAGGAAACTGAATTTATTCTCTTGAGAAGAGGAGATTAAGGGGGGATATGATCAACATGTATTAATACATCAGGGGTTCATATAGTGAACTCGGTGTACAGCTATTCACCCTGAGGTCATCATAGAGGACAAGGGGGCACTCTTTACGTCTGGAGGAAAAGAAATGTAATCTCCAAATACGGAAAGATTTCTTCACAGTAAGAGCTGTGAAAATGTGGAATAGACTCCCTCAAGAGTTGGTTCTGGCCAGCTCAGTGGATTGCTTTAAAGTCCTGGATTTTCATGGGCACACAGAATATAACTGGATACTAACATTTATAGGTAAAGTTGATCCAGGGAATATCTGATTGCCTCTCAGGGGATCAGGAAGGAATGTATTTTTTTTGTTTTTTTGTTTTTTTTTGTTTATTCCCTGCAAAAGCAAATTGGTTCATGCTTTGCTAGGGGTTTTTTTTTTTTTTTTTTTTACCAGACCAACTATGTAACCAACTAGACTAACTATGTAACTTTTCCCACTCTAAATGAACAGATCAGCAAAGAGTCATGTGACATAGTCCTTATGACTGTGGAGTAGAAAAAAATGTATTTCTGTGGTCACTTAATTAAAAATGTAATTGTCCTTTTTTTAGTTAGGTGGGTTCATGCTTTAACTCAAGTTTAAAAGATATGTAAACCCTAACAGTGAGGGTCTCTTATTTGCTTATTAATGTTAAACATACCTAGGAATGCATTTTGATATACCTTTTCCAGAAGGGTAAAAATACCTCTTGATCATGCCAAGTGTTGTTGGGAAGTGTATTAGTAATACACAACATCTCCTGTCTATGGTATGAAGATGAGCAGGGAGATCCTGTCTTAAGGTGACAATACTACTCTCCATATAGTACAGTGAGTGAACATTGTCACCCTAGAACAGGAAGTGTTTTTCACTGGCTGGATCACCCGGTGAAAATGGAGGAAAAAAACCTTTAAAACAGAAAACTAACAGAGCCACCACATCTAAGGACTGGTAGGATGCAATATATAAAATTTTTTGCTCTTGGGCTTATATATATTTTAACACAGATCAAGTATGTGCCATACCTGTGGGATCCCTCTGGAAGCTAGAAATCACCGCAACAGTGATTTCCACTAGGTTCCATGCCAAGCAGCTGCCCTGCTACATTGTGAATATAGGAGGTGCTTGCTTGGCACCGTCTAGCACCATTCAGGGAATGCTTAGCATTTTTCTCAATGAATGCAAAGCACTCTCTGATTGCACACGGTGAAAATGCCAAGGGTGACAATACGATCTCCAACTCATCCAATAACCAAATTATTTGAATTCATTGAAGTACAGAGTGTACTCTAAATGGTGGCTGTGTTGAGCGAGTGACCTGTGTCCAAAAGGCAGCACGGCAGCCACTTGGCATGGGAACCTGAAGCTAGTAGTGATCACTGCAGCAGCGGTGCCTACAGCTGTGATCTCCACTTGCACGGGATCCCACAGGTATGATACATACATACATACATACTAACAATGATCCAAGCTGGACCAATGCAACTATGTAAAAATATCGACACCTGGAATTCTTTTCAGATGCCTACAATTTAGCAGTTTCTGCTTACAATTTGTTGTCTCACACATCTCCAAATTCATTCTTGTTTCCTGCTGAGAATTCTCAGGAGCTGTAGTAGAAAATAGTCATTTATCTTGCCTGTGTACTCCAGACTTTAATAAATATGATATAGCAGAGCGCTGAGGAGTGACTTCATTACTCAGCATTTTATTCCTGCATACAGAACTTTTGTAACCCTAATGTACACAATTTGCATTATTCAGGGGAATACAATAAAGAGAACAGCACGCAGGCTGCACACTTTGCACCCATATATCACATTCTGTTTATTCCCAATACAGTTGGACTGATTATTCATAACTAGTGTGAATGTTCTGTTACAGCGCCAGGAGACACCAGGCATCGCTCAGGCTGGGATAGTATCTCTTCATTCTGTCAGTGACCCCTCTAATCCAGGACATTGTCCTTCCTGGAAAACTTTGAATCACTGAGAAATGATCTTGTCACAGTAGGAGATTAAAGTAATTGTGTAGCGATAGTAAAAATAAAAAATGGTGCTTATGGTGTAGCATGTGCAGTTTCAGGTGCTGGAATGTGATGGGTGATTTTTTTTTTTTTTTTTTTTTTTTTTCTTTTTCAGAACACCTCATCCTCTGCAAATTCAAGCGGCGCTCCAATGTACAAATACTGACCAATTCCTCTGGCCAGCCAGCCAGTCTGTCCAGCTCCTTCCACCCCTCAGTCCCGCTGTTTGTCCATCTCTGTGATGGATGGCCTCACCAATAAGTAGTGAGCCTCTGGAGGCTGCAGTGGATAAGCAGTGTTGGCCATCAAGAGGTTGCAGGAAATAAAGGGACGAATACAAGCCCTGTTCCTGATATCTTAAACCTTTCCTGCTGGCCTGCATCTATGGGGCAGCTTGGAGTGGGCCTATTTTGCATCAAGAGCACTGTGACAACCCCTGGTCACAGAGTGACAATTGGGAGCTGGCAGCACAGGCTCCTGGTCATGTGGTCATTCAAAGGCCAATCATAGTGGCCAGAGCAAAATGCAAATTTTTTTTTTTTTTATTAGTTCTAGTATGGGTACAAACATCAAAAAATACATACATGTGATATTTTCATTCATGGCAGAAGTAGAATTTATTTTGGGTTGTTTCTTTGCTGGTGGGTCATGGTGATGGCAAGAAATATACAACTAGTTAAAAACTACTTTTTACTATTTTGGGCTAGTTTTTCTTTGATAAGGGAACAAAAATAAGGAGGTATCCATTTACCACCATATAAGTGTTTGATTTGTCCTGAGAAAAAAAAACAAGGAATAATTCACCTGGAAACACTAAGGGAACTACAGTATGCATACAAAATTGCTGTGTAAATGGTTCAAGTACATATGCAACGGTTTATAAATTGCTAAGTGAATGCCTCAAGCATTTGCACAGCTGTCAGAAAATAAACAGACAATATGGTGATTATTCATATTATTGTCAGCTCTATCTAGTGTCCATAATGTCATGTTTTCCTGGAAATACCCCATGACCACTAGATGGAGCTGAAGTTCATAGGAAATAAACATATATGGCACCATTTTGAGCTCATTCCTGTCAGCTGTGCTAATGCTTGAGGCATTAACACAACAATTGTTTGAAAAATAGTTCCCTTTGTATATAGTCGCAAAGAAATGTACAGTTGTTACTAATACATGTTGGGCTGGGCTGGGTTAACATGTTAAGGTTTGTTTTTTACCTTTTTGCATTAAGGAGTGAAACTAAGGGTTTGATTTACTAAAGGCAAATGGACTGTACACTGCAGTTGCACTCTGCAAGGGCATTTACTCCAGAGTTTACTAAATGAGGGGAAGCTATGCTGACTTCCATCATCCAATCATGTGCATGCAAAAATTATTTTCCTTGCACGTGATTGTGTATTCTCTGCAAAGTAAAGCTTTACCTCATTTACTAAGCTCTGGAGCAAACGCCCTCGCAGAGAGCAATTGCACTTGCAAACTGCACAGTCTATTTGCCTTTAGTAAATCAATCCCTAAATCTGCTGTAAACCTGAGCAGTTCAAACTGAGTATGACAAGCAGCGGTTACAGTCAGTGAAATCACATGTCAAAGTAATTGTTAGAAGATAGACATCTACACTATCTTTTTATATTCTTTAGGTTTCTAGTGACCAAAATGACTATTTCAAGGGCATGGAAATCTCCCATGGTTGACCTAGCCGCAATAAAAAATAAATGCAATGGATAATGCTACCAGAGAAAATAGCCAGCCTTCTCAAAGACAAACTAAGTTTGAATAAATTTGGACTCAGCAATGTATTTGGCGTTACTTGTAGTCACACAGCACAAGCTGGTCGGGACTGGGGCCAAAGAGGGAGTGAATCCATCT